TATATAAGTATGTATGTTTGTATGTGTATATGTATGCATGTATGTATGTATGTATTGTTTATATATGTATGTATGTATGTATGTATGTATGTATGTATGTATGTATGTATGTATGTATGTTGTATGTATGTATGTATGTATGTATGTATGTATGTATGTATGTATGTATGTATGTATGTATGTATGTATGTATGTATGTATGTATGTATGTATGTATGTATGTATGTTATGTATGTATGTATGTATATGTATGTATATATGTACATATGTACGTATATATGTATAACACACAGACACACACACCACAAACATACACACACAACACACACACACAACACACACACACACACACACACACACACCACACACACACACACACACACACACACACACACACAGCACACACACACACACACATACATATATACATATATATATATATATATATATATATATATATATATATATATATATATTATATTATATTATATATATTTACAGACATATACATAGATAGATGGATAGACAGATATCCCAATCTCTCAATCCTACTCTCCCTCATTCTCCTTCTCTACTTTCCCCCTCCCTTCCTTCTCTCTCTTCTTTTTCTTCCTTTTATCATTATTCCTCTATTATCATTATTTTCATTACCATTATTATTATCATTATCATTATTATTATCATTATTATCACCATCATTACTACTATTATCAATCTAATCATTACTATTAATTATCACTATCATTATCATTATTGCCGTCATCATTATCATCATTATCGTTATTATTATTATAATCATCATCCTTATTCTCAGTAGTAATATCATCGTAATATTCATCATCATATGATCATTATCATCATCATTATTATCAATATTCACGCTATACTTCCTTTTCGTTCTCATATCATCATTGCTCTTGTTATTACTCATTATTTTCATTGTTTCTTCTGCTCCTTTTTTTATTATCTCCATCATTTTCGTTGTCACTATTTCTACTCCACCCTACTACCCCCTTCCACCATCCCTTATCCAATATTTCTGTCAGACTTCTCCCTTCCCTCCTCCTCCCATCCCCTCCCTCCTCCAGCTCTTCTTTACCTCCCCTTCCTCCCACCCTCTTACCCTTCCCCTTCCCTTCCTTCCACCCCCTCCTCTCCCTGCCACCTCCAACTCTTCCTCCTCTCCCCTCCCCTCCTTCCCACATCCAGCTCTTCCTCTCACTCCCTCCCACTCCTGCTCTTCCTCCCCTTTCCCTCCCCTCCTCGCACCTCCCTCCTCCACTCCCTCCTCCCCACCTCCTGCTCTTCCTCCCCTCCCTCCCTCCCACCCTCTCACCCTTCACTCCCACCTCCTGCTCTTCCTCCCTTCCCCTCACCCTCCCCTCCCTCCTCCTGCCTCTTCCTCTCCTCCCCTTCCCCCTTCCCTCCCTCCCACCTCCTGCTCTTCCTCCCACTTCCTCCCACTCCCTCCCCTTCCCCTCCCTTCCCTCCCCTCACCCTCCCCCCCTCCCACCTCCTCCACATGCCAAATCAACAGGTAAGAAGACATTGGCGCGTTATGAAGGACCTCCTGAAGGTAAGTGGTGCAGGGGGGCGAGAGGGGAGACGGGCAGGAGGGGAGACTGGGGAGGGTAGGGGGACGGAAGGGGAACGTGGGTAGGTGAGGGGAGGAGGGACGGAAGGGGAAACGTGGGAGGGTGAGGGGAGGGGAGACTGGGGAATAGAAGGAGATGGGAGACGGGGAGGTGAGGGGAAACTGGGGAGGGTAACGAGAGGGGAGGCGGGTGAGGTGAGGGGAGACGGGGAGTTGAGGGAAGACTGGGGAGTGGAAGGAGAGGGGAACAGGGGAAGGGAAGGAAAGGGAGGCTATAAAGAGAATGAAGGGGAGGCTGGGGAGAGGAATGAGAGGGGAGATTAGGGAGTGGGAGGAGAGGGGAGACCGAAGAGAAGGAGAGGGAAATGGGGGAAAGGAAGAAGGAGAAAGAGAGGGGTAGGGAAGGGAGAGGGTGAGAGAAAGAGAGAGAGAGAGAGAGGAGAGAGAGAGAGAGAGAGAGAGAGAGAGAGAGAGAGAGAGAGAGAGAGAGAGAGAGAGAGAGAAGAGAGAGAGAGAAGAGAGAGAGAGAGAGAGAGAGAGAGAGAGAGAGAGTATATGAATGAAACAAAAAAAGAGAACGAAAGTAGTCAAGAAGCGGAGAAGTAGGAGAGGAAGCGAGGACTGGGGTGGGGAGGGGTGGGGAGGGAGGGAGGAGAGGATGGGGGAAGGGAAAGGGGACGAGGGGCAATAAGGGAAATGAGTGTTAAGGAAGGGGAAGAGTTGGAAGGGGGGGGAGGGGGAGGAAGGAAGGAAGGGGACGAATATGGGAGATTAAGAACGTGTCTTTGGATTTTTTTTAGACTGAGGATGTGTGTGTGTTTTGTGTCTGTGTCTTTGAGTGTCTGTTATATTTGTCTTTCGGGAAAAATAGGGAGGGAGGGGAGGGAGGGAGAGAGGGAGGAAGGAGGGAGGGAGGGAGGGAGGGAGGGAGGGGAGGGAGAGGGAGAGAGAGAGAGAGAGAAGAGAGAGAGAGAGAGAGAGAGAGAGAGAGAGAGAGAGAGAGAGAGAGAGAGAGAGAGAGAGAGAGAGAGAGAGAGAGAGAGAGAGAGAGAGAGAGAGAGAGGGAGAAGAGAACCACGTGTTGCAATTTGTAAAGGCGCGTGAATTTAAAAAACAGATGTGCACTTTGTCAAATTTTATTCACAAACAAGTATTTTAATTCAGATATACCACAGGAATACATATCATACACACAGAAGACTATATATATATATGTATATATTATATATTCATATATAGATTGATAGATATATAGATAATAGATGAATAGATAGATAGATGGACAGATGATAGATATTATAAATAGATAGAAAGAGATAGATGGATAGATAGAGACAGATAGACAGATAGACTGATAGCGAGATATACAAATAGACAGACAGACAGGCACAGATAACAGAATCTGGCACGAATAATTATCTTATATACCTAAATAAATTTCTGCAGACGACATCACCGAACAGCTGTAACACGTGACCTGTTTATTATTTTGTTGTTCACTTTCTTATAATTTTTGTAATCTCATTTATTTTCTCCTTTTTTATTTTGGTCTCACTTCATGATTCTCATTCTGTATTTATTCATTTTTGGGTCAATTCATGAATAAGTCTATTTATCTATCAATGTTGTTGGTATTATTATTATTGTTATTACTTTCATTATCATTATCTTCTTTTATCATTTATTGTTATTATCATCACATTTACATTAATTATTAAATCTTTCACTTCCTCTGTTCGTGGCTTTTACTTATCATATTTTTTCTCTCTTCCTTCTTCGGTTTCCTTTCACATTCTGCTACGGTTATTGGTATCGCTCAACCTTCCTTTATTACGGCATTTATTCTCCTCTTCCATTCCTCTCTATCTCTTTTTCTGTTTTTGTTTGTCTCTTTGTGTTTAATCAATCGTTTTCTCATTTTTCTCTCTCATTTCTCTTCTTCTATTTTTCTCTTCTTTTCCTCTTTTCTCTTCTCTCTTGCCTCTTTCCCCTTCCCTCTTTCCTCTTCTTTTTCTCTTTCAGAATGAGATACAAACAAAAAAAAGACAGAAACACGAAAAATATGCGGAAACAGGCATAAAGAAAATAACAAAAGAAATCAAATACACTCAAAGAATATTAGAAAAAGGATAAAGATAAAGCAACAAAGACCAACAATGTAGAGAGAGAGAGAGAGAGAGAGAGAGAGAGAGAGAGAGAGAGAGAGAGAGAGAGGGAGAGAGAGAGAGAGAGAGGAGAGAGAGAGAGAGGAGAGAGAGGAGAAATTACACAAACACCAAAACTAACAGAGAGAAAAGAAAAATAACGAAGCAAAATGCGAAAAAGAGATGAGGAGAGAGCGAGAGGAGAATAAAAGCGCGAACTTTTGATAAAAGAGTTTGATAAAAGGGGGATAAGGGACACCGTTAATCGGGGAGGAAGATGTAAGGAAACGTAGAGGGTAATAAAACAGACGTAAAGAAGAGGCCGGTGATGGGGAGAGGAAGGGAAGGGGGAGAGGAAAGGAAAGGGACGGGGAGAAGAAGAGGACGGGGGAGAGGGGTGAAGGTGAGGAAGAGGAGAGAAGAGGGGAGAGGAAGGAAAAGGGAGAGGGAAAAAGGGGAGAGAAGAAGGAGGGGGGAGAGGGGAGAGAAGAAAGGGAAGGGGGGAGAGGAGACGAAGTAGAAAGGGAGAACGAAGAGAAAGGGGGGGGAGATAAAAGACGGGGAGAGGAAGGGTTAAGCAAGGGGAGAGAGAAGGATGAAAGAGAAACGTGGGAAGGATGGAAGAGAGGAGAGACTGAAAGAAGGGAAGAGGAAGAGTAGAGAGGAGGGAGGAAGAAGGAGAGAGAAGGAGAAGGATAAAAGGGAAGGGAATGAGATGTAACAATAATAAATAAGAAGGGAGGAAGAGAAAGGGCGAAAGGATGGGGAGCAGGGAGAGAAAGAATGATGGAAGGACAGGAAATAAAAGGGAAACGAGAGAGAGAGAAGGAAAGGAAGGGAATGAGGAGGAGAGGAAAGGAGGGGACCGGAAGAGGGGAAGAGGGAAGAGGAAGGAGAAGGCGAACACAGGAAGAAAGGAAAGGGAGGANTGTTTTTTGTGTGTTTGTTTTGTTTGTATGGTTGTGTGTGTGTGTGTGTGTGTGTGTGTGTGTGTGTGTGTTGGTTTGTGTGTGGTGTGTGTGTGTGGTGGGTGTGTGTGTGTGTGTGTGTGTGTGTGTGTGTGTGGTGTGTGTGTGTGTGTGTGTGTGTGTGTGTGTGTGTGTGTGTGTGTGTGTGTGTGTGTTGGAAAGTAACTGAATATTTTGATATAACGTCAAAGAGGTGACGAAAGCAATACTAATAATCCTGTGTGTTTATTAGTGTACAGGAATATTTGTATCAATTGTTTTGTCATCTGGTCTGCTGTCTTTATAGCGGACAACGATCAACTCGCTATGAAATGCAAACTAAAAGTAAAGGTGCGTGGTATTATTGTCTTGTAAACGTATCCAATAGCCAAATTACTTGATTATACACACAAACGTTGCACTATTTGCACATCTGATCGCTTA